ACCAAACAAACAGTAAAGAAATTACTCTGCAGATCATAAAGGACCAAACAAGTGTTATTGTACCAGAGTCAGAATAAAAGAACCCAGGTTACTAGGATCCCTGGTGAAAAAGTGTTTATGCTTAGATTCCACTCACATGACAGGAAAAAAGACTTAATTATTCATCTATTAAAGTAAAGAAAGAGGTATACATAAACGAGTGTCTTACCAAAAAACGTCAGAACCTCCTTTATAGAGTCAGAAAACTTAAGCGGAGAATAATGACAAATACACCAATGCTTCACACTAGGATGGGAAAATTCTTGTTAGGAAAACAAAATGTAGGTCAACTGTACACAAACGAAACGAGAATGATCTATCACGATTTTCAGGGATACTAATCTTACAGAGAATAACAAAAACAATGTCCAACCTAAAGCCTACGTAGTGTAGTGATGTTTTGCTCCATTATTGTTAAAATTTTCATTGTACAATCTCTTAGTAATTAATAATCAACTACTCATTTTGTGATTTTACTAGTAAGCATAAGTCCCCCTTATGTAAATTTTTATTTACTATTGTTTGCTTAAACATTAGCTGAATTGATACTTTCTCTGTCCATATTATTACCTCATATTTTTTAAATACTATCAATTGATATTACTTACTAAAATTAATAATTATCATTTTTACTATAATTTCAATTTACTCTTAACATTTTTGACATTTAATAACCATTACTTGTCTAATTACCTTTACCTGTTTTAATACTACATTTACTATCTTAGAGTACTCTTAATTACCTTGTGCTGCCATATAACCTCTAGTATAACTACCAGTGCAATATTGAATGAAATAAACATTACTTTTTCACTTTTTTGTAATCATTATTACTTACTAAAATTTTATTAAACACCATATTTACTACCAGTCAATTTTACTTTTGTACATTAAACATTATTTTATACTTCCCATAACATTTTTGTTGCCAAATTTTCAAGTTTGTATATTCAACTCCAACCTTTATATTATCCTTTGTACCTGTCTACCATCTTACTATCATATTATAACCCTTGTTATTTTTTTACTATTATTCTTTTGTACTTTAATTGTGAATTATATTTTGTCAATTTAAATCTAGTTATACTCCTGATCTTGTCAACAACCTATACCGATCTAGTGCAATTGCAAGTACCATTTCAATTTGTATTTTTATATTTTTAAGTTTGTATTATAATTCCTACTCTAAGATTGTTTTCATATCTTAGTGACTATATTGTGTGTGCAATTAGTGTATTTTTCAATTATATTATTGTTCAAGGGCCCCTTTAAACTATCTTTTGCTAACTAGTACCAACTACCTCATATATTTTTTTTTCTACTTTTTTTATTCTTTTGCTACCTTAACTTGCATATTTTATCTTGTCAATTTAAATCTAGTTATACTCTAATTCTTGTAAACAACTTATATAACCCCTTTTAGTCCCAATTACAATTGAGAGTTTTGTGCCTTTTTTATATTATTAGTTTAAAACTCAGTTGTACTATAGTCAATACCAAATTCATTATATTAGACCATATTGCAATTACTAGTGAGAGACTGGTGCTATTTTTTAGTTGTACTATAGCTCATTCTAGCTCAAAACATAGACTCCACAAAAGTCATTATATTAGACCTTAGTGCAATTATTTGATTACCATTTTATTGTTCACCACAACTTACATTAGTCCCTTTTATATTATAATTTTATATTATAATTCTAACTTTAAAGAATTACCTTTAAAGTACTACCTACTATCATATTCCCAAGCTCCATTATTTGACCATCACTTTATTTGTTCACCACAAATTATTTTAGTCCCTTTTATATTGTCTCCTTTATTTTAGCTTTAAAAAAACTACCTCTCTTTATTTTTACATTTGTTAAATAATTCGGGGTGCTATTTTTTTTTAGCTTTAGAATATTTACTTTATTTTTTATTTTAATTCTAACTATAGATTCACTACAAATCTTATGATTACAAGCATTTATCCTGATACCAACCCCTTATTTAATGACTTAAAAGATTTTAAACAGTTACTGTAATTACTACACAGCAGAACAATCAAAGGCACACTTCTCAGAGCTAACAACAACATAACTATCTTTAACTACAATATCAGATCTTTAAGCAAGCAAATTTTGATGACCTCCTAGCATTACTAAATTCCTTTCATGCCAATATGTCCATCATTACACTAACTGAACCTGGCTAAAGCCTGATACTACAGATGTCTATGCCATTCCTGGTTACACAGCCATACACAACTGTAGGGCCCGACCCAACAAGGGGGTGGCACTGCTATATACTACTCAGACCAACTAGAAGTATCACTAATACTTGCACAAGGGATGAACATGGGGAATATATAATAGCTAAATTCAAATCCAAATACCTACAAAAACCTCTCCCCAGTGATAAACATCTACAGGTTTTCCACAATCAAACATTAGCCAATTTAGTCAAAGCCTAGGAAATATGATAACTGATGCACGCATGAACAAAGATCACTTATACTCTCAGGTGACTTCAATATAAATCTCCTGCAAGACCAGGACCCACACGTTACTGAATTCACAAACACAATGAGTAACTGCATGTTGCTACCAACAGTAACAAAACCTACAAGAGTTACAGAGACTAGTGTTTCCCTACTTGACCACATCTAGACCAACACCTATCCCTTTAAAATCAGGCATAATTACAGATAATACCACAGACCACTACCCTACTTTCCTCATAACAACTCTGTAAATACCCAAGACACTACTAAAGTCACCTTCAGACTTCACAAAGAGGCAGCCATTAATAACTTCACAACAGCAGTAACAAACATTGATGGCACACTGAGCTAGAAATCTATACAGATATTGCGAATGTTTTAATAATTTTCTAAAAAACTCAATACCTTTATAACAAGCACTGCCCTAAAAACTAAACAGATGACAGCTAAGAGACTGAACAGTCCCCGGCTAACACCCAGCATTCTCAAATCCATAAATACAAAACAACCCATATGAAAAACAGTACAGAATGGGTCACATAACCAGAGACCAAACAAAAGTTACTCGTCAATCCTAACCAGCCTGATAAGAAGGGCAAAAAAATTGTATTATGAGAACAGATTATCCAACTTACGAGGTGATATAAAAAAGACCTGGAAGACCCTATCAGAAATTCTGGGAACAAAAAAGATATCACGACATAGCGAAATAAAATTAGCAAAATCAGATGAAACCCAAATCCCACCAACAGAAACAGCAAACAGACTCAATGATTTCTTCTCCACTATAGGTCAAAACCTTGCCAATAAAATCAAGCTCAGATACCCCACCAAATGACTACCCCACTGGCAACTACCCGAATACACTGTTCTAGCTCGACTAACCCATACGAAGTTCCTTATTATCAACGCACTGAAAAACAAGGCAGGAGATTAAATACCCTTTCCACCCTTTTTATACAAAAAAGCATCACAAATACTATCACCAAATCATTGCAACACTTTTAAAAAATCCCTTGAATCCTCCACCTTCCCTACAGTTCTTAAAATTGCAAGGGTCCCCCGATCCATAAAGGAGGAGACCAAACAGAGTTGAATAACTATAGGCCAATATCCATTTACACCCTCTCTCAAAATCTTTGAAAAATTAATTCATAAACGAATCCACTCCTACCTCATCTCCCAAAACATTCTCAACCCCTGCCAATTTGGATTCAAGCCTAATAAAAAAACTAATGATGCTATTATACACATGCTAGAACATATATACACTGCAATAGAGAAAAAAAGTCCCCCTGGGGGTCTTCATTGACTTACGTAAAGCTTTTGATACAGTTGACCATGACTTGCTCCACGTAAAATTGTCACACTATGGTATTAGAGGGCACTCCCTCAACTACCTCAAGTCTTACCTCAGCACAGAAGCCAATATGTGTACGCAATGGGGCAAGCTCTTCCCCACAACCCCATTACAGTTGGTGTCCCACAGGGAAGTGTCCTTGGCCCTCTTCTCTTTTCCTATACATAAATGACCCACCAAATGCTTGCAATTACTCAAAACCCCCACTTTTTGCAGATGACATTTCATACGTCTTCTCTCACCCGAGCCCGTCACGCTAGCCAATACTGTAAACACCGAATTACAGAAAATATCTACCTGGATGAGGACTAACAAATACACTAAACATTGACAAAACCTACTTCATTCAGTTGGTAACAGAGTACAGACGTACCTCTTAACATAACAATAAAGGATCACCCATTACAAAGCTAACAGAGGGAAAATTCCCAGGAATCCACCTCGATAATAGACTCAAAATTCATACACTATACAACAAAATTTCTAAGAAAATCTCCCAAGACTGTAGGCATACTATCGAAGATACGGTACTATGTTCCACAGTCAGCCCTCCTGGCCCTTTATCACTCTCTTATTTACCCCTATTTTCACCTATGGAATTTGTGCATGGGGGCCCTCAACAACAAATTAACCATCTCAGACCACTAAATTAAACCCCAACAAAGGCTGTAGTTAGAATGATAACAAATTTTTCACTACAGGCAAACACAACCACCAATATTCAAAACACTCAACCTACTCACCATACAAAACATCCATACTTATTATTGCACCTATTACATACATAGAACACTTAACTGATATTAACCCTCCCCTCAAACATCTCCTTGCCACCTCAACAGAACACATGACCATAACACAAGGCACGATCACTCTTTGATGTTTTCCCCGTGTCCATCTCACGCTATGCAAAACTCAATGCACGTAAAGGCCTAAATTTTGGGAATTCATTTTCCTGTAAATATAAAGAAACACTACCTGTTCATAAATTCAAGTCTCTTCTCAAAGATCACTTACTCACTCAAAACCAAATAAATTTCGATAACTGAAACCCTTTTAAATTGTATATCCTATATGTTTACTCACAATTATATCACACAAATGTTAAACCTAGGACCCAATCTAACTTTATTATTTTTTTAAATACACTACCTAACAGAATACTCCATTCGACTGAATGTACAGCAATGCAAGCAACCATATGACCTGTCTTTGTAATACTCATTTGTACTTTATAGTTATCTGTTTACAATAATGTTTTATCACTGATTTCATCATTGCTTAGTTAATCTTAAGTTAATTTTAAGCCAGCCCGTAATGCTATGCATATAAGTGGCTTTGGCATGCTGCTCTTACCTATAAATAAGTTGGGAGCTGTTCGAAACTCGAGGTACCACTGTACTGTGACGAGTCGTAAAATCAACTTCTATCTTACTGAGAGAAAATATTTTCCCAAAAAGGGAACTTAAATTTTTTGTTTTATTGACAAAAAAAATTATAAACTAAATTACTGGGTAATAACTTAAAACAATATACTTTTAAATTTTCGTGCCACTATACCAGTGTAGTAATAACCTTTTTTTTCTCTCTCTCTTTTTCTTAGGTGAATGTCACGAGTCTAACTTCTAACTCAAAGCTGCTGAAAATGGATTTCCATTTAAAAAGGTATGTCCTAACCACGTAACAGGTAGGGTTAGAACCCATGGCGAGTCATAACAATCCAGGCCAGTGCATAAGTCACTGTGCCAGCTGGAGTTTTACAACTTGCTTGCCTTGAATTCTAACCCCACCCTTCCATTATTTGTTGGCAGTTGTGTTATTACAATTTTCTGAGTATGTCCAAAGTCTTTTGTAATTAGAGTATACTCTCAGCCTTTTCTTGAATGTTTACTTTGTTGTTTTCTTTCTGTTAAGCAAGTCAAAATGGTCCTCTTAATTTTATTTTTCCCCCCCCCAACAAGTCAGCCGTCTCCAACCAAGGCAGGGTGACCCAGAGAGAAAGAAAATCCCCAAAAAGAAAAAAAGAAACTTTAATCATCATTCAACACTTTCACCTCACTCACACATAATCACTGTTTTTGCAGAGGTGTCCCAGAATACAACAGTTTAGACGTATATACGTATAAAAACACGCAACATATCTCTCCAAACTGTCATCAAAATAATAACTATATAAGTACAGGCTAGTTGTGTATGATGTATGGATTTTGTGCATGTAGAATGTGCTATTTTATATTGTTTTGGTGGTAATGTATCACTATAAGGATCAAAACTGACCAGAGTAAAATTACTTAGTGGTACAGTGTTGGGCCTACTACATGCCACGATTACAGTTTGAATCCATCCCCATTCGTCTGTTTATTTATATACTATAAATTGTCACCTAACTGCCTATCTGGTAAAGGAAATGCAGTATTGACCAGAAATTTTCTTTGTACTCAAGAAAAGGTGGTATAACTTGAGGCTTATTTGTTTTGCAAAAGTGAACATAGGAAAGAGCAAGGTGATGAAGGTAACAGAAAATTTAAGTAATGAAAGATTGGTAGGATGGAGGAAGTGAATGTGTTCAGATATTTAAGAGTGGACTTGTCAACATATGGGTCTATGAAAGATGAGGTGAACTATTAAATTGATGAGAGGGTGGGGAAGGCAAGTGGTGCATCAAGGCATCTTTGGGAGACAAAGAATGTTATCCATGGAGTCAAGAAGGGGAATGTATGAAAGTATAGTGGTACCAACACTTGTATGGGTGTGAAGCATGGGTTGTGAATGTTGCCGCAAGGAGGAGGGAGGAGGCTGGCTTCAGTGGAGATGTCGTGTCTTGAGGGCAATGTGCGGTATGACTATTATGCAGAGAATTCATAGTTTGGAGATTAGAAGGTGTGGGGGTTACTAAAAGTATTATCCAGAGGGCTGAAGAGGGGTTGAGGTGGTTCAAACATTTTGAGAGGATGGAACAAAATAAGATGACTTTAAGGGTGTATAAATCTGTAATAGAGGGAAGGCAGGGTAGGGGTCGTCCAAGAAAAGGTTGGAGGAAGGGGTAAAGGGAGTTTTGTATGTGAGGGGCTTAGAGATGACTTGACATGCAGCATGTTAGTCAGAGCAAGGTAACATTTATGAAGGGGATTCATTTAGGGAAACAGGTTAGCCATACTGGAGTCCTGGAAGTGGGAAATACATTGCCAGCACTCTGAAGGGTGGAGATATTTACAATTTTGAGCTGTAGTAGTGGCACACCATTGGCAAGAGAGTGATGATACCTTTACCTTTATTATACCTTTGATGAGTTTTAAGTTTTACTATTCAAGGAGCCCAGCCATGGTCCAGACTCATTTGATGATTGCCTGGTCAACCAGGCTGTTGCTGCTGGAGGCCTGCTGCCCCACATATCCATTACAGCCTGGATGATCTGGCACCTGGTGAAGATACTTGTCCAGTTTTATTTTGAAGACTTCTTCACTTGTTCCAAGCGTGTTTCTGATATCTTCTGATAAGATGGTGACTAGTCTGGGGCCACAAATGTTGATAGGGTTCCCTTATTGTGCCCACCACACCCATGCTCTTCACTGGGTTTATTTTGCACTTCCTCCAATATCTCTCGCTCCAGTATGTTATGGCAGTATGCGGATTTGGAACCAGGCCCTCGAGTACTTTCCAGGTATATACGTATTATTGTATATATCTCTCTCTGCTCCGCTCCAGTGGGTACATGTTTAAGACTTTAAGGTGTTCCCAGTAATTTATATGCTTTACTGGCTCTGTATGGGCTGTAAATGATCTCTGTATTTGTTCAAGCTCTGACATTTCTCCTACCTTGAATGGGACTGCCAGTACTGAGCAGTATTCCATATGAGGGAGCACTAGCGATTTGAAGTGTCACCACCGACTTTATTTCCCTTGTGTTGAAAATTCTCGTTACCCACCCTGTCATCCTCCTGACTGTTGTGATCTTTGTCTTATGTTCTTTGAAAGACAGGTCAGCTGACATAATTATTCCCAAGTCTTTCAGGTGTTCCTTTTGTTATTTGGTGATCCTCTTGTCTTCATTCTTCCCAGACCTAAACAGCTGGAACTTAATCACCATTGAACGTCATGTTGTTCTCCACTGCCCACTGGAAAACACTGCTTATATCTTCCTTAATTTTTCAGTGTCTTCTACTGTAGTGACTTTCATGCTTATTTTTCATCTGCAAATGATACAAAACTGTGACGAGTGTTTTTATCTATGTCTGCTATGAGGATGAGAAACATTAGAGGTGCCAGGACAGTGCCTTGGGGAACTGAGCTTTTTACCTCACTGATGATGGATTTTCCTCTGTTTACTACTACTAGTTGTGTCCTGTGTGCTAGGAACCTGAAAATCCATCTACCTACCTTCCACATAAAGCCTGTGGCCCTCATTTTGTGCACTATCACTCCATGATCACATTTGTCAGCTGCCTTTGCAAAATCTGTGTATATCACATATGCGTTTTGGTTACCTTCCAACACCTTCGATGATACACAAATAACCAGCACATAAAAGAGAAGCTTACGACGACGTTTCGGTCCGACTTGGACCATTGACAAAGTCACACTAACCAGAAGTGGAGCAGGACGGCTATATATAGGCAGGAAGAGGTGGTGGTAGTAATACAAGAATAGTATATAATACCGACAAGATGAAATTAAGACACGCGCAACACCCGGGCATCCCCATAGCCGTCCTGCTCCACTTCTGGTTAGTGTGACTTTGTCAGTGGTCCAAGTCGAACCGAAACGTCGTCGTAAGCTTCTCTCTTTTATGTGCAGGTTATTTGTGTATAGTTCCAGTCACGGTATCGTGCCTTTTTTGTTATTTACCTTCGATGATATGACATAGTGATTCAGCACCTGTGACAGGCATGATCGTCCTGCTCTAAAAGCATGCTGGTTTGGATTATGCCGGTTGTGCTGGTCCATGACATTTGTAATCTGCCGTCTCATCACTCTTTCAAGGATTTTTATGATGTGGAAAGTTAGGACTACTGGTCTGTAGTTTTTCGCTAGTGCTTCCCTACCTCCCTTATGCAAAGGAGCTACGTCTGCACTCTTTAAGGTCTCCGATATTTCACCTAGATCAAGGCTTTCTCCAAAGAATACTGAGGGCTAGTGCTAGTGGTACTTTGCACTTTTTTATAAGTAGGGCATTCCTTGAATCTGGTCCAGGTGCTGAGTGGGCATGTTATCCATTTCTTTTTCAAAATCTATGATGGATTTCTACTAATGTCAGTTAGTTGGTCTGCATACCCTTCTGCTGCAGTGAAGATTTTTTGCATTCTCTACCTTGCTGTCATTTAGTGAGTTGCTGAACACCAACTCATACTGTTCTTTTAGAATTTCACTCATTTTATCAGTATACGGGTCTCTTCTCAATAATGGTCCAATTCTACAGGTAGTTCTTAGCTTGGATTTTGCATAGGAATAGAAATATTTTGGATTTCTTGTAATATCCTGTATGGCCTTTTGTTATCTCTGTACTTCTGTTAGTTATGACATCCTAAGGTTTTGCTTTAATTCAGTGATCTCTCGGCTAAGACTGTCATTCCTCCATTGCAACGTATTTGTGTTTTTAAGCACTTCATTAACCTGTTTTCTTCTGTACCATCTCCTACGCTCTCTATATCTGATCATCATCTGGGCTTCCACAATGGTATGCGTTCAATACAAACCTTGTATGCTTCTCTGTTCAGCTTCTCCAGGCACTGGTGGGGATTTAGGGTGCTCATGTCTGATTCCTAGGATATGTCTGATAGTTCCTGGTTTATTTTTTCCCAGTCAGTTCTGTGGTTGTTGAAATTAAACTTACTGAACATCTCTTACATTAGCCGGGTCACCATATGGAGAAGACCCGGGCCGGAAGTACCGGCGAATCTCTAATGAATGAATGAATCTCTTACATTAGTGTTACAGTTACCTAACCTTGAGTTAATACTTGTTTGTACTTCTGTTATGGTCAGAGTAAATTGTTTTTGCAACTATTATATATCTGATTAGCTCCTTTTTTTTTTTTTCCAACAAGTCAGTCGTCTCCCACCGAGGCAGGGCGACCCAAAAAAAAGAAAGAAAATCCCCAAAAAGAAAATACTTTCATCATCATTCAACACTTTCACCACACTCACACATTATCACTGCTTTTGCAGAGGTGCTCAGAATACAACAGCTTAGAAGCATATACGTATAAAGATACACATATCCCTCCAAACTGCCAATATCCCAAACCCCTCCTTTAAAGTGCAGGCATTGTACTTCCCATTTCCAGGACTCAAGTCCGACTTGTTGTTTGTGAATATTAGATCCAGGATATTTTCATTTCTAGTGGGATCATTTATCTGTTGGTTCAATAAGTACTTTTCACAAAGCCTCATTAGTTCCCTGGTATGTGCCTGTTGAGCCAAGGTGCTTCCAGTGTTTCTTCTTTTTAGGTCACTCCACTTTGGTGGGAGACAGTCGGTGTTTTAAAAGAAATAATTTATTACATTATAACATTATATATCTTAATGCTTCTAGTCGGTCATTTGTTTGGCCCTTCGGTTGTATTTTATTTATGTGGAGAACTAAACTGTTTTGTAGAGGTTTCAAATTACAGTAAATGTTAATAACAAAAAAGGCACAATACCGTGACTGGAACGATACACAAATAACCCGCACATAAAATAGAGAAGCTTACAACGACGTTTCGGTCCGACTTGGACCATTTACAAAGTCACACTAACCAGAAGAGGAGCAGGACAGCTAAATATAGGCAGGAAGAGGTGGTGGTAGTAGTACAAGAATGGTATATAATACTGACAATATGAAATTAAGATACGTGCGCAACACCCGGGCATCCCTATCGTAGACGTTTCGCCATCCAGCCAGCCACTGGATGGCGAAACGTCCACAACAAAGACACCCAGACGACGCACATGTGTCTTAATTTCATCAGTAGTAGAAGAGGTAGTAGTAGTGGTAGTGGTAGAAGTGGGGAGGAATAAGGAGGACGAGCCAGTCAAATACAAAGGAAGGGGAGCACTGCAAGAGAGCTAGGTGCCCACAGAGGGAGAGCAAGCGCACAGAGGTGTGTGAAAGGGGAAGTGGTGAAATAAAGAAGGAACAGAAACACGAGACAGAAGAGAGAAAGACAACCCAGAGGAGAAAAAGGAAAGAGGAAAGGGGAAGAGGGAGAAGAAGAAAAAGAAAAAGAAAAAATGATGAGTCAGGTTAAGTCACGGGTGTTCTGAAGTTTGGAGCATTTTACAATGTAGTGGGAGAGGAAGGCATCTACAGAGACGAAGCCAGGGCTAAGATTCATACAAGGAAAGCTTTGTATTAGAGAGGACTCAACTAGATGGCGACTGTTCGAGTTGGAAGTAGGGAAGACAGTTTTAGCAGAAGACCAGTCAATAGGATGGCTATGATCTCTGACGTGACAGAAAAGAGCATTGTTAGTGTCGGCAAGCCTAACACTATTTTTGTGCTTCCTAAGTCTGTCAGAAAGAGATCGACCAGTTTCTCCGAAGTATTGAAGAGGACAGGAGGAGCAAGAAATAGAGTAGACACCAGGAACATCTGTTGAGGGAGGAGAGGTATGAACGAGATTAGTGCGAAGAGTGTTAGTCTGGCGGAAGGTAAGCTTGATGTCTAAGGGATGGAGAGAATTGTTGAGATTAGAAAGACCGGAAATGTAGGGAAGGCAGAGGATAGAAGAGTTCCCAGGAGTAGAGAGTTTGGGAGAGAAGAAATTAAGTTTAGCACGTGAGAGGGTAGAGTCTATGAAATGGGAAGGGTAGCCAAGACGGGAAAATGAATTATGAAGAGTGGAAATTTCTGCTGGAAGGAACTGAGGATCACAGATGCGGAGGGCACAGAGAAAGAGGGAGATAAGAACACTTTTCTTGACAGGGGAAGCATGATAGGAAAAGTAGTGAATGTACATGCCACTGTGCATAGGTTTTCGGTAAACGGAAAAGTAAAAACCTGTATCTGAGCGGTGGACATGGACATCAAGGAAAGGAAGCAAGGAATTAGATTCCCATTCAGCTTTAAACTTAATGGAAGGGGTAAGATTATTAAGAGCTTCAAGAAAAGGTTGGAAGAGACTGAAGTCATGAGGCCACAGAGCAAAGATGTCATCCACATAGCAGAGCCAGAGTGAAGGTTGCACATCGAGGGTAGGAAGAAGAACAGTCTCGAAGTATTCCATGTAAAGATTAGCAAGGACAGGAGAGAGAGGAGAGCCCATAGCGACACCGAAGGTTTGAGAATAATATTTCCCTTGGAAGGAAAAGGAGTCCACACAGAGGCGGATAAGATCAAGAAAGACATCAGTAGGTATAGGGAGATGTAGAAACCCTTCATGGGCCTTCTCTCTAAGGAAATCAAGGACATCATCAAGAGGGACATTGGTGAAGAGGGACTCAATGTCAAGACTAAGCATCTTGCAGGTTGGGAGAGAGCGAACCTGTTCAATGAAGTCTTTAGAGTGACGGAGGTGGGCAGGAGAAAAAGTACCAAGAAAGGGAGTGAGGGTTTTGGCCAGCCAAGAAGCAAGAGAATAAGAGACAGAACCTCTAGAGGATATGATAGGATGAAGAGGAATATCAGGTTTATGAGTTTTGGGAAGGCCATAGAAATAGGGAAGAGAGGGACAGATGACACGAAACCGTTGAACAAGGTCAAAGTCAGGAGGACAGAGGTCGGAGAGAGTCCTTAGTTTCTTGTTGAACGTTCTCTTGATGCGATCAAGAGGGTTGGAAACGAGAGGAGTGTAGGTACGTGAGTCAGAGAGCAAGACATCAGCTTTACGGAGGTAATCCTCGCGATCAAGGATAACTACCGAATTACCTTTGTCAGAAGATAGTATGACAATATTAGTGTTGGATTTAAGGGAAGAAAGGGCAAGTTGGTAACGGCGTGGAAGGTGGTGATTCTTAGAAAACAGACTACCAAGAGCAGGAAGGAGAGCCCCACGAAAAGTGGACAAGTCAGGAAGATTACAGGAGCGAGATTGACGAAAGGAATCAAAAGAGCTAATCAGGGCAATACCAGCATGAGGAGTAGGCGAAGTGGCAAAGGAAAGGCCAAAACCAAGAAGTTCAAGCTCATACTGAGAGAGTGAGTGGTCTTCTGCTAAAACTGTCTTCCCTACTTCCAACTCGAACAGTCGCTGTCTAGTTGAGTCCTCTCTAATACACAACTTTCCTTGTATGAATCTTAGCCCTGGCTTCATCTCTGTAGATGCCTTCCTCTCCCACTATATTGTAAAATGCTCCAAACTTCAGAACACCCGTGACTTAACCTGACTCCTCATTTTTTTCTTTTTCTTCTCCCTCTTCCCCTTTCTTCTTTCTCCTCTGGGTTGTCTTTCTCTCTTCTGTCTCGTGTTTCTGTTCCTTCTTTATTTCACCACTTCCCCTTTCACGCACCTCTGTGCGCTTGCTCTCCCTCCGTGGGCACCTAGCTCTCTCGCAGTGCTTCCCTTCCTTTGTATTTGACTGGCTCGTCCTCCTTATTCCCCACTTCTACCACTACTACTACTACCTCTTCTACTACTACTACTACTACTACTACTGATGAAATTAAGACACGTGCGGCGTCTGGGTGTCTTTGTTGTGGACGTTTTGCCATCCAGTGGCTGGCTGGATGGCGAAACGTCTACGATAGGGATGCCAGGGTGCTGCGCATGTATCTTAATTTCATCTTGTCGGTATTATATACCATTCTTGTACTACTACTACCACCACCACCTCTTCCTGCCTATATATAGCCGTCCTGCTCCTCTTCTGGTTAGTGTGACTTTGTAAATGGTCCAAGTCGGACTGAAACGTCGTCGTAAGCTTCTCTTTTATGTGCGGGTTATTTGTGTACAGTAAATGTTCTTTGAATTAATACTAAATGTTCTGTGATAGTATTTATTAATGTTTCATAGCACTGTGACCCTGGCGGGTTTAGTGCTTAATTTTTATAATAATTATTATTAATGCTTTGCTGTAGAAGTGTTTTTAAATCCAAGTACTGGTAGTTTTGGTGATCATGAAGGTGTGATTTTCAGGGTTCCAGTTGGTATTTTTCTTTTGATGTGGGGTTATAATTCATATTTGATGTAACGAGGAAATGTTCGTTTATTGAGGCCCCCTCTCCCTTTCAAGGAAAGCTCTTTGGTTCTGAAGGGTGCTTGATCCAAGGAATTGTACTTGTTCTATTCTTTCTTGAATCAAACTTGAATGCTTCCCATTCCCCAGGTACTGTATAAACACAAATTCAGCAGTTTTCCTAAATATATACCAGCTTTGGCAAATTAAGGTTGACATTGCCTGTAGTTGGAAGATTTTATAGTATTTGTAAGTCAGATGCTGAAGTTTTGCTAGCATGTAGTTTTTTTTTTTTTACTATTTTTCCAAAGTGCAGCAATGACCAACACAAGAAACCCATAGTAAACCCTTCAAGGAAAGTGCCTTGATGCAGGTGAAAAGTTCTTGATCGGAGGATTGTTAAGAAACTTCTCCACAGATCAAACCCTGATTACAGATGCTCCTTGCTTTATAATGGTTCAACTTATGATATTTTGACTTTACGATGTTGCAATAGCAGTGCACGTTCTGTATTGTACATTTATTGATAGGATAAACTTTAATTCATTTATTTACTTTTCATTGCTGGTAATTATTTACAGAAATTTGTTTTATTCAGTGACTACTTATTTATCATGTAGTATTCATGTTTGACTTAGGATGGTTTCTTCAGAATGTAACGCCCCAGCGTAAGTTGAGGAGCACCTGCACTTACCCCATGTATGTAATCTCTCAGCTGAAACATCTTCCACTTGCCATTGTGTTTAGTCTGATTTTTTTTTCTGTGCTTTTGGATAGTTGAAGTCCTAATATATGTACGTAATTTTAGATTAACTAAGCTATTGACAGGTGCTTTAGTTTCAAACTTTTTTTTTTCTCCCTACAGTGATGGCAGTCTTCACGTAGCCTTACAAGAGCCAGAAGCAAAAATTAATCGTGCTTTCATCATTGAGGCTGGAAGAAGTTGAGGCTAATTAAATTTAGCTGAGTAAAACCAATTTTCTTCCTAGTTACCTAATAAATACTTTTGTTATTGAACTTAGTTTCATTTTGTGCATTCATATAGTATTGGTCTAAATATTAGCTTCATATTTTTTGTACAAACGGTATTAATTTTAATAGCAATGTAAAATAGGGTAATAAGACTATTAAGAGACATTTGAAACATTTTTACTATCAATTAAAGAAGGTTTGGGTATGGCTTGTTTGCACTGAGGTGAGCAGGGGCCAAAAGGTCCCTGTCAACCCTGAGATCTGGCATAGTACTGCCGCCCAGAGTGACACTTAAACACTTGGTACAATCGACTGCAGCCAATACACTTGCATGTAACAACTGATAACCAGTTGAATTTGTACACTTGAGATATTTGGTGAGGTGGGCGGCAGGTCTGAGGAAGAGGGGGGAAACGGCGTCACCCTGAGCGGGTGTATATCACTGTCAGCAATTGTAGGGCTCTTGCACACTTTGTGTGCAGAGTCTCAGGAGGAGCCACAGTAACATTTAGTCACCTTTATAAGGATCATTTAGTAAAAAAAAAAAATGCATACATTTACAATACATAATCAAGACTTGATAAGACATATACAACAAGGTTTGATAACAATAACACCAACAACCAGGTGGGTGATGCTATATACA